TTTGTTGTTATAAAGCCTTGAATTTAAAGTACTTTTGATTGGCTTACATTCAGTGTGTTAGAGGGTACTTGTGCTATATATGCAGTTGCATCCTAGTTGTGTAAATAACCAGAGAAAAGAGGGTAAGTGACATGAACTCTGGATGTTGAGTATTTATTATCAAAAGGCAGTATGATGGAGACTGAGTATAGATAATAGAATGTTTTGGAATCAGAGTAAGTGTAGCCATTTATAAAAATAAATTAGTTTAATCTATAATTTGGGGGCTTTAGGAAGGCAAGAAATAACATTTCTTTCCCTTTTCTACTTTGAAACTAATTGATAAGTAGACATGGACAAAAAAATTTCAGCTTTATTACTAATAAAAGTGGTATGGAAGGTGAGACATTTGGCCTCTAAACATTCTATTATTTAACCTCTGAATTAAACAAACATACTCTAACACTGGTTGGTCACTGATAGAGCAGGTCTCCCCCTAATAGGAGCAGAGTCAGCCCCTGGGCTTACCATGTAGTGGAGGGCTGACTAGAATGCCGCCTCTATGAAGGAAGGAAGAACCACTGGAGAACATGCACCTAGAAGGTGTTAGGCTGATAGGTCCTTCTCCAGGTTCACAAATCAGTTTGTCACTCCTTCCTTGGCTGTGGGGAGAATGAATGAGTGAAAAGAAGCTGAAAGTATGCTTTCTAAACTTTTCCCTCCTGGAGATTTGAATGGAAATATGGAGAATAAATGTTTCTCTTAAACATATAATATGTAACAGGTGTAATATGTAGCAATCATAGTCATATTCAAAGAGTATTATGAAGTAACAGGCAGTAACTGGCCCATCATTATGTGCCACACTGAATTGCATGCTACTCATTTTATATCAAGTTTGGTAAGCCCCCTTTAATCTGAAAACGTCTTGCCGTTTTTTGGCCTTGGATAATTTTCTCATACCATTTCTTCTCCTGGATTCTCTGTATTTTCATTCCATTAAATAGCTGTGCTTATTAGACACTTACATGTGAATATGGCCAAGTATTAAGGGACTTTGAAAGGTACTTTTAATTAGAAATAATATTTGCTTTTCCAACTAATTTTAGACTATCTGTATTTTGTAAGCTATAACCAGTCAGTGTGTGAATGCTTTATATATTCAAACAGCAGGTTATACCCACTTCCTTACCTACGCAGAAGCTGTTGCTCTTTCTACCAGAGAGCAACCAAAGTTTCCTGAGCAATGGTAGCTACCTGATGGCTACTGTGAGGAACTTCTGATCTACTTTCCTCCCTAGTTCCTTTCTTATTCTAATAGTGGTCATGAGCCCTCTTAAATTCCCTTATTTTTCTTTTCTTTATTTTCTTTTTTTGACTTAACTGTTTGGTTAACTTCGCTACAGGAAGTCTTTCATGCACACACAGACACATGTCCTTATTAGCTTTGTCAGTATCTTAATTCTATTGCTCTACTACATCAAGAAGTTTTCAAGTGTCCTGTCTGCCCCTGCACCTTCTTTATGTTGAAGGAGGAGTTGTTAAAGTTTTATCTGTTTTGTTTGGTTGACTGACCTATGAAAACTAACCCACTATTTGTTAAGGGTGGACAAAAAATTTCAGCTTTATTCAGTTTTTTTTTTTTTTTTTTTTTTTAAGCAGGAGAAAGCTATCTGGTTTTCAAAAAGTGAAGTATCAACTTACAGAAAATATTTGCTTGCAGTTTAAAATAATCTCTTCTTGTATTTATATATTATAGAAACGCTATTTTTATTAAGTAACTTTTAGTACCTCCTCTTTTTTTTTTCCCCTCTAAGTGCCATGTAAGGAGTATACAGGTATGACTAAAGTAATCACTGCTTTTAAAGAATTTATCTTTCTGTCTGGTAGAGGAGATAATATAACAAGGTAAAGAGAGGTACAGGCAAACACCTGTACCTGGTTTAAAAGCAACAAAATCCCCCAAATCTCTGATTCTTGTATGAGTTTTGAGTGAAAGAGAAGTGGTAGTATAGAATACTTAGAGTGCTAGTACAAGTCTTTGCCCTGGTTCTGATTTAACACATTGTCAGATCTCCTATCAATTCTCACTATTAATTTTTCTAAACTATTTCCCAGCTTTTCTTGTTCCTTCCCCTGCCTCACAAGCTGGGGTGCTGGCTTTTGTAAGAATAGAATAAGAAGATAGAGCAGATAGGAGGTGGAGGAACAAGAGGTGAGTAAGATTAGGTAGGTGTATAAAAGATGGTCATGCAAAATTTGTACAGTCTTGCCCTTGAACTTTTGAAAACTTCTGTTTAACTTACAGATTTCGTATATTGTGTTAACTCTGCTCTACACTTTCCTAAATCTTTCTCTAAAATGTCTTCTAGCTGTATCAACTACCTGATTTCATTGACTATTTGTTGTTAGTATGTGGATTAAGGCACATCATTGGACTGTCATGTGCATTTACAAATACAACATCCCTTTGTGAAAACAAGAGTAATTTTTAGTAATCTGTGTAGTTTATGAGCTCTGTATCATCTGTCATTGACTTTGATGCAGATTAGATTGACTTTTTAAAAGCATGCTTTTGAATTATCATGTAACAAAGACAAAGTTTTACATAAAAGATAAGGGGAAAATGCATTTTCTCAAGAATATTTTAAATGAGTCATACTTACAAAATAATATGTGTCATTAGTTCACTAATAGCTATAACTCCTCTGAATTAACTTTAGATTATCACATACTTAAATACAGTAACATTTATAAATTTTAGAATGTGAGACTCATTGAGAGATAAAATACTGCCTATTGCATAGGGTGGTTGTGACAGTTAATTTAGTATGTTTAAAGCCACTTTGAATACTACCTGGCCCATAGTAAGTGCTACATGAGTTTATAAGTGTTAGCTAACATTTATTTTGTTTTTATTACTGTTATATAGTGGTAAAAATCTCTTAAGCAATGAACTGAAGTCTAGATTTTTGAGATGTAGTCATTTACTGATTATAAAGCAAATGCCTTTAGATATTTTAACTTCATCTGTACTGTCTGTAGTAGGAGGCTGATTTTACTAAAATTATATAATTATATACATCTGTTTCTGTCTCTTTGTTAGTACCTTTAAGAATGTCATGCTGAATCTCAGAATACCAGGACATTTCATGTGGTATGAATGTAGGATATTCATTTACACATCACTGCACAGATAGCCTCTATATAGTCAACCTATTGGTTATTGATATCTCTTTTATTGCCTTGCTGTAAATCTTGTCCTGTAATTTCAACACATAATTTGTGGCACTTTAGTTTTTTTCCCCTTTATAGTTTAATAACTTATATTTGTATATGCTTAAAATGTCAAACAATAAAAATGGGAACAAAGAGAATTCCTTCACCATCCTTGAACCCCTCCTTATCCAGAAATAGAGATGACTAGTTTTAAGTATCCTTTCAAAAATATCCTGTGCATTTACAAACACAAGCATGTATATCCATCCTCTTTTTAAAACACATATATTACTCCACTCATTACCTTTTTTCATTTAATATTCATGAAGATCAGTTTCATTCTGTGTCAATATACATGGGCCAGTCTATCTCAGAGCTTCAGTCTGTATATTCCATGTATGTGTAACTATCATTTATCTAATCCTACATACATTGTTTTGTATTTTTTACTTCTTGCAATGTCATAACTAAGAACTTGTGTATATATATCTTTCTGTGTACGTTTATATGTAAGATGAATCCTGTAAATAGAATTGCGAAGTTCAAGAGGATATATTTTTAATGGAACTAAATAATAGTTTATAATTTCCTACATACATGGTTTCAGAGGGCTTTCTTCCCCTACTCATTCTAAAATAGCATGTTACCAAGTTTTAGATCTTTGTCTGATGACTGAAACCTATTTCTTGTTATTGTATATTTATCTATCACTCAAGTTAAACCTTTTTTATGTTTGAAAGTTACTGACATTTATTCTTGGCTGGGCGTGGTGGCTCATGCCTGTAATCCCAGTACTTTGGAAGGCCGAGGCAGACAGATTGCTTGAGCCCAGGAGTTCCAGACAAGCCTGGACAACATGGGGAAACTCCATTCCTACAAAAAGTACAAAATTAGCTGGGTGTGGTGGTACGCACCTGTAGTCCCAACTACTCGGGAGGCTGAGGTGGGAGTATTGCTTGAGCCCAGGAGACAGAGGTTGCAGTGAGCAAGATTGCACTACAGCCTGGGCCACAGACAGAATGAGACCTTGCTCAAACAAACTACAAGAAAAAAAGTCATTGATATTTATTCTTCACTAAAATACCAGTTCACTTACTTTGCCAATATTTGTTGAGTTACTAGTTTTTTTTTCTAATTAAGTTTTTAAAGTAGAAATTTTAAAATGTTGTAGTCAGTTCAATCTATTTTTAATCAGTGTTATGATTAAAACATAACACTGATTCTGAGTTGCTGCCCATGCAACATTTTCTCCCTGTAATTTCTTCTAGTATTTTTATGTGTTTTACTTTTTACCGTAAAATTTTGTTGAATATGTCACTTACTGGTATTAGAAGTAGGGTAGGAATTCAGCTTAATTTTTTTTAGGATAACTAGTCTGTTATGCCAACAGCTTTTTTTCCATTAGATATCTGTTTCATCCTCAGTAATTTGAAACACCATATTCATTATACTGTTCGTTCTTGAGTTTTTTTCTCGATTCTTAATTTGGCATAGTTTCTCATTATGCTGCCACAACTCCCATGTCAACATAGTTGCTATTTTATATTTTGTTATACATTATTTTCAAAATAAGGTATTTCTCAATGTTTTTACTGTTCAAACCTTAAATCATGCATAAAGCAAAATTTTGTTTTTTCTTCTGCTGTGCAGTTAGCCTCTGAAATTAATTTTTAGATATCTGCTCCTGAGCTCCCCTTTGGTCAGTGTACTCTAATTTAGAAGTAGTCTCTAGTCAAATATGATGAACACTGTATAATTTCATAATTTCTCCTGAGTTTGAAGAATTTTTCTTTCTTTTCTAGCTTTTAATCTAGACAACGAACAACCAGATTATGATATGGATTCAGAAGATGAGACTTTATTAAATAGACTTAACAGAAAGATGGAAATTAAGCCTTTGCAATTTGAAATTATGATTGACAGACTTGAAAAAGCCAGTTCTAATCAGGTACTGTACCATGTAATGATGTCTCTTATCTTCTAGTTAACCCAATTTGCACCTTTATTTTGCATTTTCTTAAGACCTGAATGTGTTGCATTTTACTGTCTCTTGGATTTCTTTCCCTCACATCCCAGAATTTCTATTTACAATATTCCTTGAATGGAATACTTAAGCACAATTCCTTTGAATAAGAATATGAAGAGTACTATTCTATTTTCCTATTTGGATAAAAATGATACTAGTTACAGTGTTACAGTATTTTCTTGATCCTTTCCATATGACTATTATTGGTGCTTCCTTAACTAAATTTGCTTGCTTGAGTTTCTAAGACAATCAGCTTATGTCAGAACTTGCTCAGATATTAAGGCACTCATCATTTTAAATGGATTTTAATTTTAATTACTTATATATTATTTTAATTTTTCAGTGAGGGAAAAATTATTTACAAAAGAATATTCTTTAGTGAGATATTTCATATATGGCACAGTTAATTTAAAATGGTGCTGTCTTTCTGGAAGCAGTTAAGCAGTGTAAGTCAGGAGCCTAAAAATGTTTATACACTTTGATTTAATAATCTCATCTCTTGGGATTGTTCACAAGAAAAATAATTAGAAAAAATGTCAGTGATGTTTGAGTAAGAATGTTCTGAATAAATAAGATGTCTCTGGTGGACTATAACACAGCCATTAAAAAATCATGATTTTGTAGGATGTCTAGTGCCATAGGAAATTGTACATTTTATAATATCAGATTTCAAAACAGGATACATAACTCTTTATGTGGAAAACTCTGAGGTTTGTTTAAAGCATTTATGTTTATACATGTGCATAGAAAACAAAAGAATGAGGAAGTTTACAGCAAAATGCTAACAATGGTTATATTTGGGTCCTGGAGTTATTGGTGATTTTTATGTTCTTTATTCTGTTTTTCTATGTTTTCCAAACTTACTATAATAAGCATGTGTTGATACTGTAATTAGATTTTTTAAATAAACTATTTAAAAAATAATTCTTGGTGTACCTGTGTGGTATATTAATGTGCTAATTGTTATTAATATACTAAGAAGTTAGAGATACAATAGAGTTGCAAATAAATTTTTTACAGTAGATTGTTAAAACTTTTCACTAGTTTACCCATACAAATTTATTATTTTATTTTATCTTACAACTTAAATCCTTTAAATCTCTAAAGCATTGTGAGCTCTTCACAGCATTTTCCTTTGGAAAGTCACTTTACTGCATATTTAGCCTTTCTATCGGTCTTTCCCCTCCCCCCATTTTGATGGAAAGTAATATCCACTGTACTATTCAAAGAAGTACGTTTTGAAAATTGAATTTTGTAAAATTCACTTTACTGGTTTTTGAGAGGTTGTCTTACTTGTTTTTTTGTTGGGAGTTCTAAAAAAGTATCAAATTGATGTTCATTATAATTAGTGACTTACAGTTTTCCTGGGATTTTAGTCACAGACATTAAAAAGAGTTTCAGCTTTTCTTTAGATGTAGAGTTTCCTAGCAATCCTAGGCTGGATCTGCCTTTTGGTATTTTTATGATTTTCTGTGATTGCTCAGAAACTGCTCATGGTGGCTGAGATTATATCATTAGAAGCCTTCAGCTCTCTGTTCTGTAATTTGCTTTCTTTCAGTTAGTAAGTAATATTTATTTAGTGTGCAGGTGAACAAGGCAGGGGATAGCACTGAATAAGACAGATGACAAAAATTCTGCCCTTGTTCAGCATATTATCCAGGTGGAGACAGGATAAAAAAGCATGTAAGCAGTACAGTTAACTGTGCACATATAATCAGTCCCATCCTATTTTAGGTCTCTTTGCTCAAGGACAAGCTTCTAGGCCATGAAACAACCAGCTAGGCACAGAGCATGATAGCATCTGCTTTCAGCAGTGGAGGTGAAAGTGGAGGTTTTGTCATTGAAACAAAATAATGGTCCTGTATTAGAATCAAGGATTGAAGATAACAAAGGGCTGTCTTCATTCCATTCCTTGATTTGTTAATTCATGGATCTCTTTACCTTTCCTTATGGGGGCTAGCATAGTACTAGGTCCCACGACAAGGACTCAAGTTTGTAGTTAAACTTCTTTTTATTAGGTTGACAGAAAAAGATCAAAGACTTAGGCAAACCTGCCTCTATTATTCTGGGAGACTATTTCGGAGAAGCCATGATTGAAAACTCCTGTTGCCAAATGCTGTTATTTTCAGCCCCAGTCTGTCTCCTTATATCTTGGAACTGTCTTCACCTTTAAAAATAAAAATACAGTTTATTCCCTCTGGTTTTATTGTTTCTCATGACCATTCCTTCTTTCTTCTGCTTGATCCTTTTCATTCAACTCCTGTAAACATCAGAGTTTCTTGAAATTCTGTTCTTATCCTACATATTTTTGTGTGATAGCTCAATAAGCATTTTTGTGGATATAATAATGTATTACCTTTGGCCTTGACCTCTTTCTCAAGCTCCAGGATTTTTTCTGCCCCTTTTGATTTTGCCTATTGATATCTTCACCTAGATGGTCCACAGTCCTCTCAAGTTTATCCTTTAAAAAATTTACTGTCTTATCCTAGATAATCTTGTAATCCTTATCTCTTCAGTAACTCCCAAAACTCAGTTTCATCCACTTTTTAAAAATCCCTTTCCTTCACTGATAACTAACTCAGTTCAGGGTTTATCAGGTTTTATCAAAACCCTGAATTGAATTAGTTACCAATGAAGGAAAGGGATTTGACAAACCCCTGAATTGAATTAGTTATCAAATTATTTGATTTAATGTCTTCTTTCCAACATGACAACTAATTGCAATACCTAACCTGAGACTGAATCTTGTACTGGACGGGAGTGGGGGGATGCTATGAAGATTATTTTTGAGTTAGTTGACAATATTGGGATATAAATAGTAGATTACATAATATTTTCAATGTTAAATTTACTAAAGTTGAATACTATGATTATGAAAGGAAATATCCCCATTCTTAAGAAGTATACACTTAAGTATTTAGGAGTAAAGAGCCATGACATGTGTAACTTACCACGCTCAAATGGATCAGAAAAAAATTTGTACACATGTGCACACACACACACTTAGAGCTCGAATGCACACAAATGTTAACACAAATGAATATAAAAGTTAACAATACATGAGTCTTGGTCTAAGGGGGTATACGGTGTTCTTTGAAATGTTTTATTCTTGCTAGTTTTCTAAATATTGAGATTAATTGTTTTTAATCACAAGCCATCTTAAATGGCATTCTCTTTCATAGAATTTTCTCTAAAATAAATAATAGAACACTTTCTAAGAAACATTTTCTTAATTTTTTTTTTCAAAAACCCTCAATGTTTTAATTTATAAACCCTTATCTCCTTCCTAAACTATTGAGTACCCTATTTTTAGTTACTGATTAACCTTCTATACACTACTGACTTTTCACTGCTGCTCTCAACTTACCACACATTCCCATGGAAGGACCATGCCTGCTCAAAACAGAACTCTCCTAACACTGTGGATAATCATTTTCCCTCATTTTGCTTCCCTTCTACCTCCTACCTTTACCATCTTGTAGAGGCATCCTCCTAAACGCTTTCTAACTCTTCCTTGTGTACCTGTACCTTGAATATTTTATTTTCAGTTATCTTTTCCTTCATTTCTTCAGTCTTTCTCTGCCCTAAAAGGTGCCCAAGTTCCCATTTTCAGGAGAACCCTTTCATTTGACCTCATCCTTCTCAGCTAACTACCACCCAATATCTCTTCTTTTTTTTTTATTATAGTTAAAATTTCAGAAGATTAGCTATATTTGGTGCTTCCTATGTTTACCTTTTACTCAGATCACAATCCGTTTCAGTTAACTGAAATTGCAATGTTTGAGATTACCAGTGGCCTCCTAATTGTCATCAAGAGCCTCTTTTCAACTTGTATCCTATTTAATATCCCTGTAGTATTTAATGATGTTGACCAGGACATTTTCCTGATTCTTTTCTTCTTTCTTCATCTCCTCTTTATCTTCAGTGTTGATATTTGCTTTATTATCTGCCCTCTGCATGTTTTTCATTTATCTTAAGCTGCTAACGGTTTGTTGCTGGTTCCCAAATCCATACCTGTACCTACTAAGCTCCAGAGCTAGATTTCTAGTGGAACCTTACCACCTGAGCAAGTATTTTAAATTTAACATTTCCAGACCTCTTTTGCCTCCCTTAGTTTTGCTCTCTGATATGGTTTGGATTTATGTCCCTGCTCAAATATCATGTCAAATTGTGATCTCCAGTGTTCGAGGAGGGCCTAGTGGGAGGTGATTGGATCATGGGAGTGGATTTTCCCTTTGCTGTTGTCATGACAGTTGAGTTCTCACAACGTCTCACAAGATTGTTTCACAAGATCGACTCACAAGATTGTTTTACAGACTTGTTCTCACAAGATTAAGTGTGTAGCACCTCCCCTTTCTCTCTCTTCTGCTCCCACCACGTAAGATGTGCCTGCTCCCCCTTTGCCTTCCACCATGACTGAGTTTATTGAGACTTCCCAGCCATGCTACCTGTACAGCCTGCAGCACCATGAGCCAATTAAACCTCTTTTCATTATAAATTACCCAGTCTCAGGTAGTTCTTTATAGCAACACAAGAACAGACTAATAATGCTCTTTCTTAATTAATGATATATATTATTTTCATCTTCCACCTAGTTGGCCAGTTTGAACTTGAGTGCTGACTTCTTTAAAATCATCCCAAACATCACTAAATCAAACCAGTTTTGTGTTCCACAGTGTCACACAGGTTGAGTATACCTTATCCAAAATGTTTGGGGCCGGAAGTGTTTTGGGTTTTAGATTATTTCACATTTTGGTATATTTACAGATACATAATGAGATTATTTGGGGATGGAACCCAACTCTAAACATGAATTCACTTATTTTTCATAAACACTTTATGTACACAGTCTGAAGGTAATTCTTTTTTTACAATATTTTAAATATGTGCATGAAAGTTTTCACTGCATTTTGATTGCAACC